CTACCTACCTACCTACCTACCTACCTACCTACCTACCTATCTATCTATCTATCTTCTATATCTATCTTATCTATTATCTATCCATCCAAGGCTCTCCTTTTTTCTTTCTCTTTCTCTTTCTTCCTCCCTCCCTCCCTCTGTCTGTCTCTCCACCCATCCGTTTCCCTCTTTTTTTATCTTTCTTCCTCCCTCCCTCCCTCTTTTTCTCTTTCTCCCTCCCTCTGTCTGTCCGTCTGTCTGTGTCTCCCTTTTTTCTCTTTCTCTTACACACACACACACACACACACACAGATCAAAACCCGGCAAGGCTCTTTCCTTGGAGGCCTTTTGTGAATCCCCATGGAAAAGGTTGAAGGAGGGTCGGCCTGCTTTTTCGGGGGCGTTTGGCCGTCCTTGGCCAGAGGGTGGCTGATTACGGACTAAGGAAGCCGATGACCCTGTGAGGAAACAGCCCTGGCCTTGGAGGCCAGTCAGCTGGTGCCCTAGAGAGGGGCAGGCCGGCCATTGAGATTGATAAGACGGCCTGTATCTCCTTGGTGCTCTCTGAGGTTGGGGGTTTCCTGGCAGACCTTTCATAACCGAAGTAGGTAACATCATCAGCAGAGGGGGGAGGAGGAGGAGGAGGACTGTGGGGTCCGTGGTGCCTTTTGCCCTTGGCTGTTTTCTTGCAGATGTTTCATGACCCAACTAGGGAACCTGCTTTGCTGCCTGGGGGATTCTGGGAGTTGAAGTCCGCCAAGGCTTAAAGTTGCCAAGGTTGGAGAGCCCTGCTTTAAAGCGTTGCTTTCCATGCTCCCCTTGGCTGCGTCACTAACATGCCTAAATGTTCTTCCCAACTTTCTCTTTCTCTGGTTGCCAAGGCTGGAGGGCCCTGCCTGAGAGTCACTGAGAATGAGGGGGTGGCCGTATACAAAATAAAATGAAGAATAAAATAAATAGAAATGCAGGCACCTCCCAGCCAACAGCTTCTCCTTCGGGGCCCGATGCCAGCTGGCAGTGCCCGGTTGAAGGGACGTCCCGAAAGCAGGCGAGAGAGGCTGGCATAATAACCCAGAGAGCCCCCGAGTCTCCTTCCGCGGCCACCAGAAGCTCTACAGTGGGTGGGGACCTTCCGCAGCGGCTGGGCAAGGACCAACGTGCTCCTTATCACCCCCAGCCCAGCAGTGGAGGCAGCTCAGCCCTGCCCAGGACGCCTTCCCCCCTCTCTCCAGCAGCACCCCACCCCCCTCCAAGAAGAGGCTCTGAGGACTTCTTGCCAACTGGGAGGGGGCCAAAGGTAGGACGGACAAGCTCTGCTCCTGGGCTGGTGCTCAGGGCGCCTCTTGACCCCCACCGAGCCCCGGGGGCCATGCCACGTGGCCTGCCAGCACCCTCTGCCCACCGCCTCTATTGGCAAGCAGCATTGTGCCCACCCCTACACCCAAGGAGCCAGAGGTGGGCTCAGCATTGCAAAGGACTGAGCCGATCCCCCTAGAGAGCTGCCTGGGTTGGCGTTGCCCCCCCCCTCTTTGGGGGTGTGGTGGTGGGGATATAATCTGTTTTTTTTCAATCATCCCTGAGCCCCTCCCCATTCTGTCCCTTTGGGGACAATTGATGGTACTGATAAAGGAGAATGTTTGTAGCTGAGGGTTGAAATGAGGGGCCCTCGGTGCTCTCTTGAAGACCTTTTATCACCCGACTACGTAGCATCATCAGTGCTAGGAGGGAGTGGGGATTGTGGGGAGGAGGAGGAGGAGGAGAGGAAGAAGAGGAAGGGGAAAGAAGAGGAGGAGGAGGAGGACTGTGAGGTTCTTGGTTCTCTCCCTGTTTGGCGGTTTTCTTGCAGACGTTTCATCACCAAACTAGGTGGCGCCACCAGTGCTAGAAGGGAGAGGGGTTTGC